AATCAGAAACGGAGGTCGCAGGTGAGTGTTTCCCCTTTCTACTACTCTGGAGACAAAACGTTGAAAAGAGTAGAATCTAAAAGAACTGAAAGTTAAAAGCCAAAAGAAAATGGAAAGCACCAGCAGAAGGGGGTAAGGAAAATTAATAAATTGGCTAGAGCACGTATCTCCAAAAATACAGAGAATTTCAGAAGTCCCAAAGCCTGGCCTGACGTACCTGAACGCCTGGGGCCAGAGCAAAGGTGCTGAAGTTGAGACCCCAACTTGGGACCCAGCTCTCCTCTCCCTCTTTCAACTAAAAATATTGGCCTCAATGTTTTAATGTGACCCACTAAATGCCCCTTCTACAGTTTTATAAGCCTGGAGTTTCTGAGTCAACTGTTAATCTAAAATGCTTTCAAAATAACGAAATCGATGAGTGGTCTACATTTCTCGACAGAAGTTGCACCAGGTTTTTTGGACATACTTGTTCAATCGTATTTTCAATTTTTTTCTTTTTTTTTTGGAATCTTGAGATTTGTCTCTTATTTCTGGACCAAAAGCAGTGAGGAATGTAATTTATGACCCACCATACCTCCTTTACCAAGGGGATAAAAGGTGCATGCGGACAGAGCACCATGGCAGCAAAGCCCTACAATCCCATCCGCAGCCTGAGCCGCAGCCCTGTCGCGGCGGCATTCGAGGACTTCGCAGGCCTCCCTCTGGCCGTCAGCACAAGGAAAGGACCAGAGCAGCCACCAGTCTCGGAGAAGTGATTACAGCAACTGTGACGATTAAGTCACCATATTAAGGGTCCAAAGAAAAAAAGTATCGACTCAAATTCAATGAAATGCGTGTAAGTCAGAATACGCTTCAGTCATCCTAAAATCTCAGATCTAGTACACAAGGTAAAGCTGAAATACGTGTGTGAGAAAATGCGGTATGTTCTTTTTTTTTTAAAATAATCACACTTAGGCTTTAAGGAGTCAATCATCTAACTGGTGTAACGGAAGACACAGAATTGCCATTACTTCATGTCACGTGCTTAGAGCAGCCTTTGTGGAATTAGCGAAATAGAGTGTAAGGCTGACTTTTGCCATGTGTTTGATCTAAAAGTGAGGGAAAAATTCATTTCATCAAACTAAAAAGGATGGAGTTTAGGTTTTAATGTTGTTGCTCTAAAAATTAAAAACTGTCTAAGATCAGTCAACGGCAGCTGCAAGTTCACGTCCCCTTCCCTGAAGAACGGGCTGTGGCTGTCTGACCCCAGGGACTCCAAGAGGGAGGCCCGCACAGAGCGCCAGGCGGAGCGTGCATCTGGCACACTCACTGCACAAACACTCAAAGACAGTTTTCTAACAAACACTTAAATTGTTCAAAATTCGAAACAGGGAAAGCTGGACAGAGAGAAGGAGAGCGAAGAAAGCAGCCAGACAAGTTCTGTTCAATCCTCATTTTCAGGAAGAGGGAACATCTATTTCGGCAGCAGATGGGACGTGGCTGTCCTGCAACTTCTGTTCTCAATCTTATCGTCCCAGGGCAAACACGACACGAAAAGGGCATTTCCACAAGCATCACCGTCTGTAAGGAGAAACCATGCTCTGAGAAGCCCGGGCTGCCTAAGCATTTCCCCACGATGATCGTCTAATCATCAGAATAAACAAGCTTAATGTCACACTTTGCCCCAGAGGGTTCTGAAATCAGGATGCATTCTTTCTACTAAAAGATCGTTCTCATCAAAATAGCCAGATAATTGCCACAGGATAATTATGATCTGTAATTATTATTGTTGGTGACTGTCAATGATGCATGGAGAAGAATACAGCTTGATTTTCAAAGCCTAACCCTGAAGAAGCAAGACAATTACAAACTTGTTTTGACTTGTTAAAATGAACAAACTTGACACAGAAGTCACAAAGGAAAAATCTCACAGAGGGAAGAAAATATATTCAATTGGCCTGACTCAGCATTCCTCAAATGCAAGTTACGAACTCAAAGTGCAGGGGAAAGATCTTTCAAGAACCAAAAGGCCAGGCCAAAATTCATGGCTGAAGGTGAATTCTGGGAAGGTCTCCTCCGGACCGCACGAGTCCACCAGGGAAGAATGAGGTCTTGACTCCTACTGTCCCTTCAGGGACATGGTGCGGTATCTTTTGCAACCTCATTTAATACAAACTTGATACGACAGAACACATACACGGTCCAAAAACCACCAGAGTTAATACGCACCGAGTGAGTAAGTAAAATTTCCCACCTCTGGTTCTATAGATTTCTGGTTCAGGTTGTTACATTCCAAGGCAGCACAGAGCCTCACACTTTCCTTTCTGAGTGTTCATGTGATACTCTGGCTTTGGGGTCAACATGATTTGATGCATTGTTAAAGACCATGGAGCTAATAAAGAAAATTAAGTAGCAAGCTTTTAATACCAAGAAATTTAAGTGGCTTACAAAAAATATATTTAAACAGGTCAAAACAACTTTGGTAACCACATAATCTATTTTATTTTAGGCCTTATGGAGACTCAGTTTTGAATATCTGAAATAAAAATGAACTGTGGCCAGCAGAAGAAATATGTCTACATTAGCTAACAAGTTATTTTTCAGAAGGAATCCTTTAATTCAGAAATGTGTATCTCACAAAACCATTTTCTCAAAATAATACTTCAGAAAAATAAGGAAAGATGCACTCATCTTTTTCTGCCTCACTTGCTAAAAACCATCTTCTGTCCATTTCATTACCATTACTATCTTCTATAGCAGCCTGTTTACAGTATCTGAATCAGTGAAGAGATCCCAAAGATGACCCGAACCCAGCGCAAAGAATGCAGAAAGACGCTCAATGTGTCTCATATACAATTTCCTTCTTTTCTTCAAACACCTTTCCTGCTCAAACTATTAAGATCTTTGAAATGCCTAGCATTATCTCCGAAGACCACTGAAACAAGAGCGCCAATCTCCATTTCATCCTGAGCATAAAGGACGACAGTAATATCTTTCGCTTGTAAATAAGTGGGGCAGATTCTGTGGCAACAAATAAACACAAGATAATATCCGAAGGCATAATTTTATTATCTTCACTGCTGGGAGGAAGGGAATCTCAGTATAAGCATTCTTTTTCTCCTTTGTTGAAATCTGTAGACAGCACCCTGTTACATGCAAAAGGCTGTCTCAATCAAAGACATTTTTTGGATGTGGTACTTTAAAGGGTTAGTTTTGCCCTTATTCTTGAATAGATTGAGTCTCTTACCTAATCCATCTTTTATCTCAATTATTAATTTGCTGAACAAACCCTTTTTGTGTATTTTATGTAGGCTAATCTCAGCCACAGATGCCTCCACACCCAGTCTGTACCAAGTGCAAGATTTACTGTAAATGAAATGAGGTCTATCATACACAGCAAAACTATACTTACTTTATATATTTATATATATATATACATATATATTCTCCCTAATTTAACTTGGCATACGTTACTATATTGTTAGTCTGTTATTAATATTCCAAACTCAACATATGACAGGGGTCCCTGTTTAAGCTGTTTGCAGCTTGCCTCGAGGACTAGGTCAGCAATATGCCAGCAATGGCATTTTTGTATAATTCCTGGTGTCAAACGATGATGACAGAACTTCCCACATCTTCAAAGGATTTTTTTACTAGAGAATTTCGAAGTCCTCATAAAGCAGTACCTCATTTTCTATAACTGGATAAACACAACACAATTATGAAATTGGATGGCAACAAACCTCAAATGGACTGAATAAAAGATGTCTGCTCAGGAAAAGCAAATTTTAGTCTCAAGATTATTAGTAACGTCTAAGAACCCCCAATTTATCCCCCATTGGAAAATACGCCCTGCGCAACGTAAAAAGCAGAAGGAAGTGGCAAGATTTTAACACAGGCAGTCTCCAGAGGTTAAAAAAGAGCAAGAAATTTGATAATACCTTATCATTTAGTATCTATAAAAATGTGAATTTAATAAACATGCTAAAACATGTTAATCATGTTTAGATTTGAAAACACACCGATGATGTGAAACAGCGTGCTCAACCCTCTTGCATCAGGAAACAAATGGTGCTCCTGCCCAAGTCTGTGGGGAGCAGAGACACAGCGGCACTCTCTCGCAACTCTCCCTACCCTAGAAGAAAAGAAAGAGTCCAACCACAGCATATTCATTTAAAAAGTGTTCCAATATAATGATCAGCTGTATCAAATGTACATTTTCTTTTCCCTTTAAGCTAATCTCTAAATTTGGCCAAACTAAGATCTTAATGAACAGCAGGGATCCCCACGTGACTATGTGGCAAATCCTCTGATGTTCTCTTGCCCTGGCAAATAAGTCCAAACAATGACAGTCTATAAAAAGAAGCCACGCCCCCCTCAATTAGCAATTCCAAGGTTAAAACAGAAGTAAACACAGAGCAAAAGGAAACAGACACGTACATACTCAAACACACCCACAATCCCCACAACTTTCATATCTGATAACAGCTAAATTTCATTCCAAGCAGATAATTTAATGACAGTTTTGCTATAAAAAAATTAAGTAGAATGCTCAAGCAAGGATATTTTCCTTCAATGTTAGAGAAAAAGCAGCAGCTATGATTTTAAAATTTACTCCAGAATCAAATAAACACTAACTCTGAAACTAAGACACTAGGAAACCACACTGGTTTGCTGAGGCAAGGCCCATCCCCACCCCAGGAAGAGTAAGCCGTCTCCACGACAACGTGACCATTTTTAGTCTCCCAAACCTTTTTCTGCTTGAGCAACATCAGCTTGAGTTGCTGCTGAAGAATATTGGACTTCAACAACAAATTTAAAGTATAATGATTTTTCACCTTCCCTCTGAAATATTAGTTGAAGAGGACACAAACAACTCACAATAAAGTTTTATGTGTGAGGTGATCACCACCAATACACAAGTCTGAAAAAGTACTATCGCCATATATATTTGCTTAAAAAAATTGATTATGACAAGCTTCAAGTAAAAATCATTTTTAAGGGGTCCATTTTCATTTACATATAACTAATACATCTTATTTACATATATATGGCTGAATTTGTATTCAACTTTTGTCATATAAGGTCTGTATTTTAACTGTATTTAACTTATATACTGTTTTTATAGACTAAATACCCTCTTATTCACAGGCAGTTTTGATGATGCTAGTTTGTCTCCACATTAAGAACTGACACTGGCAACAAAACACGAAGCAAATATGATTCTGAAGACCTTGAAAAAGAACTCTGACATATAAGACATTAACCACTGCTTAATGCTGCCACTGATATGAAATTCTTCTTCTTTTCAAAAAACACTGATTTTCCTAGTAATATTTAACTTTAAAAAGGTATCTTAGTTCTTTAACCCTCAGAGGACTAGCATATTTAGGCAACTAACCAAAAAATAATCAGAAGCATACATCTTTGCCCAGTTTCCAAGGGGTTAAAGTGTAGGAATTTTCTATACTGTGTTATATAAGGCACCCTATTCCACTTTTTTCTTAAAAGAAACTTTTTCTTTGGTTTCTTGTAACTTCTCAGTAAGTCTGTCCTTCGTTTCTTCCATCTTCTCTGTGATGAGCTCCTTTGTCTCTTCCATCCGGTCCTGCAGATACTCCTTAACAGGTGGTGGTGTCGACATGTAGCCGTGACTGCGCAAATACTTTACAGTAACGGATGTTCCTCCCAGGGTCGCAGTGTATCGGGCAGGCGTTGCAATCTTAAGGAAAAAGCAAACAGGCAGATCAACATCTGATTATGACTATCATCTTAAACAAAATCAAGTGGAAATTAAAATTCTGGTAATAACCAATCAGTATAAATTACCTTGTTGTTTCACAAAGCTAATGTATTAATAGTAACATCCTATATGGTTTCCCCTCCTAACAAGGAATGCTCCTTCTGTGAACTCATTTTGTCAAAGTTTGTCCCCTATATGACAACCTCACCCATGACTACAGAATCATCACGGCCGACAGCACTGACGACCCTACCTGCACATACTAGGGAACCTGGGTGGCTTGGTACCACTAATAACAACGAAGGCGCACACGTTTCTATTCCTCAAAACCCTTGCCAACCTGCCAAATGCTTTACATCTGAAGCAAAACTAGAAGCAAACTTCTTCAAATGGTGAGAGGCAGAGGCTGAGTCCAACGTTCATTCTTTTCTGGATTTAGTTCAGCTTCACGTCCAAATCCCTTTCCTTTGACTTTTCCAGGCCCTTGCTACCTTTGCACAGTCCACTCTGAGTCTGGAATCCCAGCAGGAAACTTCCATGAGGCCAAAAGTGGTAAAATGGCACACAGGGTTTAACTCTTATCAGAGATTTAAGGATCAAAACTAAATAGTAGACGACTGGTCAAAGAGAATCATAAAAGCAAAGAAGTCGCATCACATTCTGAGTTGAAATCGTAGTGTGCTTTGAAAGAGGCGTCTGTGCTCTATTTCCAATTTCTCTCTTGCACTCGCTCCAGCCAAGCTTTCATGCCTACCTTTCCACCAAAACTGCTCTCATCAAAGCCACAGTGACCTCTATGAAACCAAATCCAAGTATCAACTTGTAACCAGTGCCTGAACCACTGGAACCCTCTGTGACAGCTTTTCAATTTCTATCCTGGGAACTTCCTTCACTTGGCTGCCAGGCGCTCACCTGCCTGGCTTCCTTCCAGCTCACAGCTTCATTTTTGCCAATTCCTCCCCATATGCCCACCCTTGAGCATGGTGTGACAACACCTGGTCTGTGGACCTCTTCTTTTATCCTCATTCACTCTTCTTGCTGGTTTGTCCAGTTTCACATCTTTACTGCTATCTATACATTGAAAATTCTTAATCTCCATACTGAACCTTTCCCCCGAATTCCTGCACATACAACCACCTACTCATTTCTACTTGCATGTCTAATATGATCTCAAAACTTAATACTGTCATATGTCACAATTTCCAACTTAACAATGGAGATACATTCTAAGAAACATGTCGTTAGGCAAATTCATCGTTGTGTGAACATTATAGAGTGTACTTACTTCTCAGCAATCTGAGATGGTATAGCCTACCATGCACCTAGGCTATATAGGTACTTCAAGGAGCTGATGGGGTTTTCTAACGGTTTGGACACAGATTATGTAAAAGAGAGGAGTTGAAGCTTTCTCACATTTTTGGCCCAAGCAACTGTTTGGATAGGATACAGTTGCCATTTCCTGAGCTGGGGAAGACTCTGAGAGGAGCAGGTGTGAAGTGGGACAGCTGAAGGTCAGGTCAGCTCTGAACATACGGTCATGCACCACCTAATGTTGACAACGGGCTGCATATAGCTATATAGCCTATTGCTCCTGGGCTATAAACCTGTATATTGTGTTTCTGTACTGAATGAACACGGTAGGCAATTATAACACAATGGTAAGTACTTGTATTTTTAAACACGTACAGCATCATCATCTTATGGGCTGTGTATACGCAAACCGTCGTCAACATCGGGTGGTGCGTGACCGTATGTTCAGAGCTGACCTGACCTTCAGCTGTCCCACTTCAAACCTGCTCCTCCCAAAGTCTTCCCCAGCTCAGGAAATGGCAGCTCTATCCTATTCTTCCAGTTGCTTGGGCCAAAATGTGAGAAAGCTTCAATTCCTCTCTTTCTTTTACATAATGTATATCCAAACTGTTAGAAAACTCCATCAGCTCCTTCCTCAAAATGTATCCAGATGCCACCACTTCTGACCACTCTTCCTGCTACTGTCTGGGTCCTGCCCACTATCGCCCCCCACCGAGAACACTACAATAATCTCATGTCAAGTTCCTCAGCTTTTCCCTTGGCCCTACTATGGTCTGTTCTCAATACAGCAGCCAAAGAGATTTTGCTGAAACAGAGGTCAGATGCTTAAAATTGCTCCGTGGCTTTCCATGGCCACAGAGTGAAAGCTGAGGTCCTTACAAGGGCCTACAAGACCACCCTGATCTGAAACTCCAATCTCTGCTCTGCTCAATCATTCCAGCCACACCGGCTTCCCCACTATCCCTCAAACACTCCCAGTATCCTGCAGCCTCAGGACCTTGCCCTTGCGATTTCCTCTGCCTGAAAAGCTATTCCTCCCGGGAGCTGCTCTCTGCCTGCTAGGCAAGGCCTTCCCTCTAGAATTGCAACCCTGCCCCTGAAAAACAAACAAATACCATATACACACCCTCACCATCCCTGGTTTCTTCTTTCTTCTTAGCACTTACCACTCTGCGTGTGAGCGCATTTTAACTTCGCCTTCGTTTCTCCAACTACGTCCCCACCACAGCCCACCCACCAGACTATAAGCTCCTCCAGGGCAGGTATTTTGCGCTGTCTTAGTTAGTGTATTCCCAGTACCTAGCATGGCACCTGGCACACAGTAGGAGCTCGACCAATCATTGACTAAAACCATGAGTGCATTTCAAAGAAGGAGTTAATGAGCACATCCCAGCCAAGTGCCACAGAGCCACGCTCAAAGTATTCTTTTCTCATCTCTGCCACATCTCATTTTGGGGCTTTGCCTTCATGAAGCGATAAATCTGTGTTTGTTGTTCTATTTGAGAAACTGTGGGTTATAGAAAATACACAGGAGAATCCCCTCCCATTTCCACCTGCCAGAGGGATGGCGAGGGGAAAGAAGCACCACGGACACTAATCTACCCACAAGTACAGCTTCATGCTTCAACCCCAGATGTGCACACATGTGCTGGGTATTTATTCACCTACTAAGCACAATACCAGGCAAAGTGAAAACACGAAAAGAAAGAAGACATGATTCTGAATTCCTAGGAGCTCCTAATCAAATAAAGAAAACAAACACTTAAAAAAAAAAAACCCATCAGAGACACTGCTACGAACTGCCAGAGCTATAAGCATTTTATGGGAACGTGGGATAAGGAGCAATTAAAACTAGGGAAATGGTTTAAATCTTCTGGATAGTGTGACTTACTAAGATTACATTATACCAACTATAAACTTGATAATTTATTATTTTGATAGTCTTCAATGTACAAAAACTGAGAAATTAAGCTTTACCCCCTAGCTAACATTATAATAAATGAGGAAAGATCCCAAAATTTCAGAGGATTTCTAATAAGGATGACAGACTAAAACAATGTAACTTTTGAGTAATACTATAAAACTGTAACTCCAGGTATTCTTATACAACAGAATTATAATAAAATAACATCTTGTTTATAAGCATTTTCTACCTGTTTTCTTTCTCAGGTAGAAGCTTCATGGAATCTCGTATTAATTTGTCAATTGAGAAAATGAGGTTAATATGGTTAAATTCCACAATTTACAACGAGTCTTCTCTTCAAAAATAAAGATCCATAAGTCTAGAGACTTATTTATAAAGACGATGTCTGAATCCAGAGAAGTTATAAAGATTATGAACTTCTAAAATGAAACATATGTAACATCTAATAAAAAAAGGTTTATCACATAAAACAATTTGAATTAAACCTTACTATTTTACTTGCTAAGATGAACTTTAAACAAAAAAATAAATGCTAAATTTTGCTAACCAGTCAGGTGGCATGTGGATTCCTGAATAAGGAAAAATAAGCATGTCTTAAAATAATTATATTTCCATT